CATGGAGTAGTGTGTACATAGGGTAGAGCGTAGCAACCTCGAAAATTATCAAACGACGACTTTCGCTAACCATTATCCCACCATGCTCACTGCTCAGGTAAAAAAAGAAGGGCAGAGGAAGAATGTACGTGTTGAACAAGTGTACTACATATTTTCAGTAGTCGTGACACTCAATTACTCAAAATATTTTACTTTCGTGAGCAGCTGTGACAAACGCGTTGAAGGGGTTCAGTGAACCGAAACGTTGCCGCTTCAATGGCTATGAAGAAAATCCGAAACTTAAAGATGACTCGCGGAGCGAGCTGGTATTATGAGTTGCTTGTAATCTTGATAAGTGCATCAAAACTTTGCTTTTTCACTTCATGTCAGCTGCTCTGGCCATTCGTAAAAACCAAGAATCACTTTGTCTCATTTTTGCTTTTTACGTTTATTCCGATAGACGTTTACACATGTCGGACAGAAACTACCATTTACAAGTCGAGACGAGGAGCTCAGTCATCTAGTGGAATGTGTTCGAACGAACATGAACATTTGGCGTGCCTCTTACGACTCCAAGGACGTGTCTAGCAATCAGAATATTCGGAATGAGGAGTGGAAGCGTGGCTATCAGCATTTAATGGTCGCAGATGGTCCCGGTCGCGGAAAGACAACGCTTATGACACGTGGTTGTGCAAAAGTTATGCAGAGTCATTTCAAGGACAACTACACTGGCCGTTGTTTTCTCTGGGACCTGGATGTCAGTCCACTTGACTCCACAGAAATTAGATTATTCAGGGACATTACTGGCCAAGAGGCGAACATTGCAGGTGCTCAGACAGTGCTTGCTCTGCGTATACTCCACCAGTCTATAAACGACAACAGTAAGTACATTGGGTTTCTTGCCAATCTCGATATTGTCCTCAAACAAAGTCTCCTTGAACTTGAAGACATCACGTTAGAGGCCGTGCTGGAGCACATTCATGCTCCCTCTACTCTCAGTTCTCTGCCGGGTATTGTACTACTGCACATCAGTGAGACAAATTCGTTGCTTGACAAGCCACCTTATGACATCCTTCAACTGTTAATGAAAGCAGCTTACCATTTCAATAAGGACCAGGCATCGAGTCCAAGCGGCCATTACATGCTTATTACAACTTTTGATGGCTCGTACCGAGCAGAGTTGTTAGAGGCGTTCAACATCAGCGGAATGCAGCCCTTTCTAATTCACCTGCGTCCGATGACGGTCCAGACATACGAACAGATTCTGTGCGGCCTTGGAAAGAAAGCAATCGAGGAAGGCACTGAAGCTACTACATTCATCGAAAAGTTCAAGTTCTATGCACCCGAGCAGTTCGCAGCTGCACTTGCAGATTGTGGAGACAATGTTCGACTTTTCTCCCTCATGGTCTACACAGTTGGCTGCTACAATCACAAATCGCGTTCGTTCAGTTGGGATCGGTTATTCCAAAATTTGCTGGCGTTCAGTAATAATACTGTTCACGTCGCACGCTGGATGAATACCGTACATCACCTTGTGCTTACGTCCTTTCCCAAGTACATCACTCGTCTCCAAAAACTGGATACCCCTTGTTTGCTGCGTGTGCTGACACCCGCATTGCTTGGTGATCCAATAGATGTGAACCCATCATCAAAGATAATGGAATCGGACATTAGTTGGATGGATCTGGAGAAAGATGGTGCCATCAGTCTCGTCAGAAACGGCGGATTCATTCGTGTCGAGCTACCGTTCATGCTTGTCCAACTTTTTCTTGGCCGAGTTCAGGACAACTGCGATTCGGTAGTTACTTTTCTACATTTGCTTAACCATCTCCATGATGAATCGAATTGGCGTCAGAATGAAAAATGTGACATTGCAATGGTGGTCCTGCGACTCCTGAACTGGCATTTCAGCCATCCGGCTCGCAATACGTTTACTCTGAAGGATATATTGCCAGATCTCCATGGGACTGCTGCGAACATACAGTTAAAGGTTCCTCAAGCAATACAGCAACTGGATTTTCTGGGAAATTATATAAGAGAACTAAATCGACATTTCAACGACGACAAGGATCTAAAAGAAGGTGCTTATATAGGGGCTGGGAATGAAACTTTCGCAGATTCATGGATCGTCTTTGAACGTAATTAGAACTTTCACATGTTTATTACATTTTACAAACAACACAAGACGCTCGATGGGAGGAAATACGCGGACCTGAGGCATTGATGAACTTTAGTCGCGCTAGTGAAGTCTATGTTACATATAATTATCATTATTATTAACACCATCATTTTCCCTTCCCTTTTTCTTTATCAACCCATTCCCGTACTGCTTCGACAGTTATTTTTCGCGGATTAGTTTTTCGTTGGTAAAAGTTATTCAGTGTAGAGTTGGCAAATGCCTTTTCCCCCGCGTAACTCGCGGATTTGAGTAGCCACTTTGGTAAATGGAAAGTCCGGATCCAGCTCAAATTTCGTATCAAAGACTTTTTAAAAATCTTTCCATAGATTTTCAACGTATTTTCGTTCGCTGGGTAGCTTGCTGTTTGATTTTAATTTTGTTTAATTCGACTGCTTAAATTGCTAATGGAAGCTTTTGATTTATTATTATATTGCAGAGTTGAATGTACGTTTTATAATGGAGCAAATGACCAACGACAAGTCCTATCAACAGAATTCAATAGTGGAAAGAAACATGTGTGATTACCGGTTATTTGCTTTTTTATAAATAACTTGTTTCGGTATTGTATTATAATAAAATCAATGTGATAAAGTAACCTAAGACCTCATAAGCACTCTTATTATTACGCAAATAACAAATTTCTAATAATTTATGATTACTACAGTGCCGTCAGAGTATTTGCATAACGAGTAATGCAATCACCGCAAAATTAATATTGAATGCAAAAAATTGCTACAAGTAAATTACGAACTTACCTAAAGCCAACGCTTATCTTACGAAAACTGGTAAAATTAAGTTATGCAACTCGAAAATTGGTAAAATGCTGATGCAGCTCTAGTCGTTTGAAGTACATTTGATTAAGTATTCAATACATCGGACCATATGGACTGCTGTACGTTCTGTTACATTCGCAGGATAGTCGCATAGCAATATTATCGATGGCAAGTTGAAACCGAAGCGGTCGAGAGATGCAAAGCCTTTATCGTATCAACGATATCGGATGAGGTTAGCCGCTCGTTGGAAGAGAAAATCAAAGTGTCACATCTTGGGACTGTCAATCGAGAAGATGTCTTGAAATTGAATCATATCGATCGTCCGAACTTGAGTATGTTAAATCCATCAAGTAACTTTTCGGCAGCGCGGTCACTAATACCGGGAGGGGGGAGGGGACAATTATAATCATTCTTAGCAACACCTGCAAAGTTTCTGTGAGCCACCAAATTTAAATAATTGTATACTATAAATAAAAACTCGCATTTCTGACTTTTTACATGGCGTTTTTGACGGACAGGTGATTACCGACTAGTTTGGTAATATTGAGTCATCCGCGCAGACGTAAATAAACACATGCTGAAGAATATATTTCTCTCCACTTAACCGAAAAAATGCCATAAGCCAGCACCCCAACCAACCCACCACCTGTATCACCACCTGTTTTACCTCAAGTTTAACCACTCCAATAACAAGAGGAAAGAACAAAATACTTAAGAGTTTGCCTTGCATTTCAAATCAGGTCATGCAACAAAGTATTTTCTCCGACAATAACAGTGTCCGTGCGAATGCATCAACATACAATTATTTGCGGAATTTTCACTGTCGCGAACGCCTAATAATGATGACGCATTTCTCCGTGAGAACACGAAAATCTTCAATTCGATTAACAATTACGCGATGTATTGCCTAATACTAAATGTGGACAACAAAATTAATTCCTAACTATATAGACATCAATTAAACACGCTCTCGAAAACACATCTATTCGTGCGAGAGACAAAGTTCTTGTTTATTCATATTTTTAGTTTTTTGTTGTGGGTTTTTATATTTAAACAGCGCAAATTTCTCTCGTTTGTTTTATTTATTGAATCCCTTTCAATAGTATTCTTATAATTGTCTCGGACCTTTCCGTAATTGCATACTCGAATTTTGCCAACGAACTCGGCACAGGATTTCTTTGTCAGGAACACGTTTAAACCGAAAACTTTCCCGCACGATAGACTTACACTTATCTCGGTGAATTATAATTATCTACAAGTGTATTAGCCAGTTATCTCATAAACAGCATATGAAAGTTCCTCAAGCAATACAGCAACTGGATTTTCTGGGAAATTATATAAGAGAACTAAATCGACATTTCAACGACGACAA